AAAGTTTAGACATTACATGCTTTCTCATAAGATTATCCTAATTTCAAAAGGTGACATGCAGCTGCCCTGACTGCAGATTCCCTCTCATAGACCTCTGGACTCTCTAAAATCCTGGAAGTGAAATAGGAAGAGTTAGAGAATAAGGCTAGATAGTTATATATTGAGAAAAGTTGTGTAGATGAAGCCTTAAACCCCATTTTATTGCTTGAATCTAAAACATATATTTTAAGAAAGGCGGAAGCGCCAAAATAGTTCATATAGTATAAGAAAGGTGGAAGGTGGAAGCGCCAAAATAGTCCATATAGTATAAGAAATAGTCCAAAATAGTCTCTTGATATTTTGTAAGGGGCCATTTTAGTTCCAGGTCTATAAAAATGTTAAATTAATTTTCAAACTCTTTTCATATGGGCACAAACAACCTCCTAATATTTGAGAAATTTATCAAAATAAGCCCCTAGTTCTTTACAAGGGATCATTTTATTCTCATAATCTATAAATATGTCAATGTAGTTATCAAATTCTTTTAATATGAAATTAAATAATCCCAACATATGACTATTTCAACCTCAATTTAAAGAGTGTGTGGACTAATTTAGCACTTTTATAGATCTTGGGAGTAAAATGAACCCATGTAAATTGTTAGTGGACTATTTTGACACTTTTAAATATATAGATCTATCAGATTCTTTTAAAATGAAATTAAATAATCCCAACATATGACTATATCAACCTCAATTTAAAGAGTGTGTGGACTAATTTAGCACTTTTTTAGATCTTGGGAGTAAAAAGAACCCATATAAATTGTTAGTTGACTATTTTGACACTTTTAAATATTTAGATGTCAGGACTATTTCAGCTCATATTAAATAAGTTTGAGGATGAATTTGATACTTTTATAAGCTCAAAACTTAAAATGCCGCCCTACAAAGAGTTGAGTTGGTACCATTCACTTTTAGGAAATCATACAATTTATTAGATATTTTTGTTTGATTAGATGTAGTTACAAATCAACCCTAAACTTTGAATAATGCAAACTCTTTTACATTTAATGATTCTTAGAAAGAAAATCAATCTGTTTGGTGATGGATATAATAGAAAGAAAATATAAAGGTTGTGTGATTGTAATTTAGGACATTTCAGTATAAAACTTCTTAAACTATATGCTAACTGTATATAATGATTCTTAACACTATATATAACACACTAATAATCTTTACACATAAAATGACTAAAAATAGAATCATTATTTTCTCAAATATGCTTTCCTTTTGCAAGCAACCTAATGAATTCTTGTGCTTAAAAACTCATTATTAGAAAATAATATTTTGTTTGTTAAATTTCTTATCGTTCCTTTAATTACTGTAGCAAAGCTGGTTTATTCACAACTAAAAACAAAAGGGAGGAAAAAGAAAATTGAAAAAAGGGAAAGCTTTTGTATCCCAAAATTAATTTAACTTGCCTTAACTCCTTTGTGCCATCTAAATGTAAGAATCCATTAGTCCTACCAAACGTAAGCCCTTCTTGACATTGTGACTTGAGCTCTTCTACATGCCTAAGCCACGTCTCCTGCAATAAAATTAATATATATAAGGTAATTTTCGAATTTCTAAAAAAGAAAATTATCCGGAATAATAATACTGTATGTTTAAATCATTCAGGCTGCAAGTTGTATAAATTTATTCATAACACATTGAGAAAGCGTGCTTTAGTGGAGATTTTGAGTCAGTCAAAGAATGATTCTTCAGTAGGTTTTTTTTTTGTCCTTTAACTCATATAATTGATAAACTTTGAGTTGAGGCAAAATAGAATATTTTACATGTCAGTTAGGATGTAGTCAGCTGAATATAGTTCACTGCCACACTTATTAATCCATAGCAAATGGTAGAGAGTACTGCTCATGCAAAATATTTTAAAACTCTTGGCCAATTTTAGGGATTGTTTGGGATCACTTTTTTTTTGGCTGTGTGTGAGTTTATTTTTATTTAAACAAATTTTTTTAAGTGCATTCTTTTGTTTGGTTTTTTTTTAAACACTGAAAAAAGGTGTTTTTAAAACTACAAAATATGCTTATAATTTATCAAATATGCTTTATTTCAAGTCAAAACATAAATAAATTAAAATGAAACTAAAAATGAAAAACAAAATTCAAAACTGATATCAAATAGCCCTTTATCTTATTAAAATTAAAGTTTTTTTTTTGTTAAACCGTGAAACTAATGAGGAAATATAGAAACAGAAACTCACAACAACAACAAGTTTTTATCCCACTAAGTGTGGTCGGCTACATGAATCATTTTTCTCAATTGTGTCCTATTTGAGTGTCATATTTTCATGTAATTCAAATAAATTAAGATTCATTTTTGATATAACATGCTCAAATCTTTTTAGGTCTATCTCTACCTTTCTTAACACAAGTGGAATCTAAAAACATTTACTCTCCTAAACGGATTATCAGATGGTCGACATTTGTAGCTTAAGAGAGAGATGGATACATCCAAAAGATCAATAAAAACCTTGTTATTTATAAGATGTATGATATCTTTTTTCATTGTTGCTTTTAATTAAAAATTTAATCAATACTAGTCTGCTTAACTTTACAGTCACAGCTTTACAAAAAAAATGTTAATTGAATGGATATGTACCATAATCACAAATAATTTGATTGAACATTTATCATACTTGTGGTCCATAACAACAACAGCAACAACAAACCTTTTTTCCACTAAAAAAGTTAAAAAATTAAAATTAATAGAGAAGAATTATTGAAAAAAGAAGAATAGCAACAGCTTAAATGAATAAAAATTGTGCAAAATAATTGGCATAAAATAGATTCAAAACCTCAAAATACTTCATTAGCAAAGAATAAAAACTGAATTCATCAAGCAAACCTTAAATAATTAGAATGAAGCAAATTATGATAATGACATTTTTATGTCTTAGTGGGGGTTAGTGCACATCAGGAATGGTGGTGTTCAGTTCCTCTACCTTTTGCTTATAATTAGTTAGTTCTACTTCTTGACAGGACTAACAAAGAATTTAACTCAATTACAGAGTGTCATATTGACGTGATGGAGCCGATCGAAACGAGAAGAAAAGAGGTTAGATTTAGACGGCATTGGCGAATCAACTTCTGCCAATCATTTTTTTTAAAATGTTGACAAATTTACATACCACTCAATTCCTATGCATCCATTTCTAATAGCTAAACATCAATTTTTGCATCTATACTACCACCTTATGTATGCTTGAAAAGGTGAATCTTACTTTTTTTTAAAGTTAAGATAGTGGTATTTTTATGTGATATGAAAGATTTGAGTGGTATAGATGTATAAAAGCAAACTTTAGGTGTTAGACATGTAATTAAATAGGAATTGATTGTTATGCATGTAAATTCCCCTTAAATGTTTTAAACAAAACTTTTTAGAACATTTTAAAGTAGTAAATGTAAAAAAACAAACTTTAGGTGTTAGATATGTAAATACATAGGAATTGAGTGGTATATATGTAAATTTCCCTTGAATGTTTTACACAAAACTCTATAGACATGATAGATTAGTTAGTTCATAATGTATTACCACAGGTAGAAAGCAGTAGAATAATCTCATACCTTTGACTGAGAGAGAGGTAATATCTTCCTTTTCTGGTGATCTCTTCGTAAAACATGAAAGTCTTAGCGTAAGAGCATCATCATTACTTTGCAATGCATTGTTGTATCTTTCATGGTTGAACTTGTTCTTCCACACTGAATCACTGAATCGTTCCTTGCTTCGTCTTTTTAAATGATGCGGCGTGTTTTTTTCGAGCATCTCATTTTGCAACATTCGCCTTTATGATCGAATTCACCTGCTTGCTATTTCTTACGTGTTTGATAATTCCCTGGTTCAGGCCAGAAAGCAGTTGGGTGGGATGATGAACACGGATGCGCTCGTTGAGCTCTTTATTCTTTATGGATTGGTGCCTCTTCGGTTGAGGAAGGGGTGGCCGCTTCACCTTTACAATCGATACAAATCCATTCTGCTTCATCTCAATCCACTTTTTCATTGATTCGCTGATTTCCGCCTGACCAGTGGTGCTTCCACATTCTGAAGAAGATGGAGATGGGTGAAGGGGTTCATTAAGATCGACGCCGAGAGCTGCGAAATCAGGTTTGGTTGAGTTTTCCTTCATAACTTGCTTTGGTGTGAAAGCTTTGCTGTCTTTCATGGCTGTTTTTGCAGGAGAGTTGAGATTGAGAGGTGTCGCAGCAGGTTTTGGCGGATGAAGACTCGGAGGAGCTGCCTCTGTGATTTGGGAGGTATGTTCTTCTTCATCATGATGTCTAAAGTTCTCAGTTTTATTTATGTTTTGCATTTCCATGTTTGAAGTTGTGATTCCTGGAGCAAGAAAAAGAAGCTGATTAGGAGGCTATAGAAAGTAATTGCATAATTACCAAATTAAAGTTCCTATGAAAATACCAAAAATATCACCATCTTAAACTTTTAAAAAGTGAAATACACCGTTTCATGCATGGGCAAGTAGGCATGTATGTAAAAACTGAAGTTTAGGTGTTAGATATGCAAATACATAGGAATTGAGTGGTAGTTATGCAAATCTTCTTGAAACTAAATCATGCAAATGGTACTTGCATGCATGAATAATTTCGACATTTTATTAAGATAACTATTGATATAAAAAAAAAAATGAAATTTTTAGATAATATGTGCATAATAATCCTTTCAAAATTCAAAATCTAAACTTTTCATCATTATTTACATTCTGAACCCCAAAGAAACACCTTATCAATAGAAAGGCCTATCATTCTTATTTCCAAAACACTGTAACCCTAAACCAGATAAAATCATTAAAAAATAATATTAATATAAAACATTATCTAGAAAATTTAAAAGCATGGTTCTATTGTCTCGTCTTTCTATTATCCGTTAAAAACCCTAAATTTGACCGTTGTGTTGGACGGTGAAACATGGCCATAGATTGATTCCGCCCGATCCATATTGCCTCAACACCTAAAGACCGCTATTTTCACATCTTTTCACATCTAAATCGATTGGTTAGGTACTAATTAGAATATCCAAATTGATTTACTTTTAAGATAAATATATGATGTCATAAATATTTGGTTAAATCATTTGTTATAACTATTGCATCCTTCTCGAATTAGATCCAACGGCTATAAACTTTCATCATGATTTTTTTTATTCTTATTGTAATTTTTTGTACTCAAAATTAAATTGAATGTATAATTCCCTCAATTCTATTAAAAATATTTAGGTGGCATAAATGTAAAAGGCATAGCTTAGGTGTTAGACATGTAAAATACATAGGAATTGTGTTGTATGTGTGTGTGTGATTTGCAAATAGGAACTGTATGTTCTTCATATCTTCTAATTTGCAAATCACTTAAAATCTTCTTCGGTCTCTATCGATTCATTAGTATTAGGTAGAAACTCGACTAGTAATTGTAATTAATGGAGATAGAAAATGAAGAAGGCTGTAGAAGCCTACGAGCAACATAGAATTTTGAAGGTTTGATGATTAAAGTTATGGACGAAGCAAGATTAAGCGATCCCCATCCTGGCAAATGAAACAATGCTTTATAAACAAAGAAAACAGATTTTATTTGATTTGTGTTTTTTTTTTTAAAGAACAAGAAAATAAAAACAATTTTTTTTATTTCAAGCAGACTTGTAAACGAACCAATTTTTAAAAGCTAGAAAACTTACATGAACATCAGCAGACATGTTCATTAAGAAAAAATATTACATCAATACTACGCACGTAGAGTAACGTGCGCGGGGGGTAGAGTAACGTGCGTAGCCAATAAAATCACGCAACGACACCCCATGCGACAGGAAAAAAAACCGGCGCGGTAATACAAGAAAAACCCCCCCCCCCCCCCCCCGATGTTATTCATGTGTTATTGTGTCATAGAAATATTTCTGGTGTTATAATATCACAATAACACATCAATAACACCTGAATAACATGTGGAAAATATTCTCATGTTATCGCGCCATTTTTTCGATCGGGAATATACCTCTATATTATTCTAGTATTATTGTGTCCTGAGAATATTCTTGATATTATAATAACACAACAACACATCAGTAACACATGAATAACACAGGAGGAATATTCCCCGTATTACTGTGTCATTTTTTTTTTCTTGTCACGTAGGGTGTCATGGCATGATTTCATTGACTACGCTACTGATGTAATATTTTTTTCGTTCATTAATGCTCACAAACAAACTCCGTAACAACTTTTTTTAAATACTCAATATTAAGCTCGATGATTTGTATCGCAAATGATATATTATTTAAGTAAAATTTAGTCAAGTAGAATTTATTTAGTAATAAAATATAATAATAATAATAATAATAATTTAGATTAATTATTAATTATATATTTATTTTATTAAAGCCTAAATGCTAGATGTAAAAATACATAAGGCTTGTATGGTAAGTACGAAATGCCCTTAAAAGTTAGCTTTAAATGGCACAAACCTCACTTTCCCTTTGACCTTTACCAATTTCACATCTCCCCGTTTCGCCTTAAACATACGAAACTTTGAGTTGTTACAGCATTCAAGCATCCAAGATAACGACGAGATCGCAACATGCAAAGATATATGAAACTCCAGTCATTTGTATGTCTCCCATTTCCACCCTGCACATAAAGTACTACTAGATTAAAAAATGGTTTTGAGAAAGTGCAGTGTAATCAATGTAAATTATATATAATTAAAAATAAAAATGGAACAACAAATTTGTATAAAAGACATCTATAAATTTTTTCAAAAAAAAGGAAAAATAACAAGTACATTTCGTTACAGGAAAACCAACAACTACATCTAAATGTGAGTTGGGTGGAAATTGAAAGTACTATCGTACTAAAATACGAGAAAGTACATCTCATATTATCATGATTCACAAGTTATATTTTATTTTTAACAGATTTTATAATCGACAAATTAATAGGTACAATTAGAATTGTAAAATTACTTATTAAATTTTTTATGTGAATTTTAAATTTTTTAACTTGTTTAAATATTCGTCCACTTATCATAAACAAATCAAATTCAAACATTAAAAAATTTAAACAACTCAAACTCGAACAATATATAAAGGCTCAACACAAACACAAGCAAAACATGAACAACTTATAATTTATATCAAGCCAAGTCGCCAAGTCTGAATTATGATATACTCGACTCAATTACAACCTTATTTTCGAGCAAGATTTCACAAAACTTCGATGAAAGGAACTTAACGCAAGGTGTTCACAGTGAGTCATGCACAGTGAGATGACGGATCATGTTAATATGATCAAGGAAATCTATAGCTTGAGGTGACTTTTGGTTATGATGTTCAGTGTATGTTTTTATATTCATTACTCAAAATATTTCAATGTGATGTTCATGTCATGCTGCTGATGGGTTATGATGGGTTCCACAGACCAGAAGTCTTCAGAATGTGACCGTAAACAATTTAAAGTACAAGGTTTCCGAGAAAATTCATAAATTGAAATCTACAAAATAAATAAATAAATAAAACAGCTCATGCAATGCAAGACGATCGGGAAGGTATTCAAAGTTAGCCAGCTTACCATGCATTCAATACTCCTATATTTCAATTAGTCTGATTTCTAAACGAGGCAAAAGAATAGGTTTGCAGAGATGAGAATTTGTGTGTGGCAAAAGCTTGATTACATTGATGCTTTGGATGTTTCAAGTTGTTCTGGTGAATGGTGATATGTATATAAATCTTGAAAGAACAAGCTTGGTGATTCCTATGCAACAATTTTGTCAAATATGCACTTCAAAGCCTGCAACTCACGCAACTCGACTCAAAAGCACCAGAAGTTCGCTTCGCATCACATCTTTGCGACAATTGTGAATGTAAGCGTGAGCCTCGCACAAGAAATGCATTGGAGAGCTCCACAACATGCACAGAAGCATATAGCACAGTAGAGCGGGTTCAGGTGCAAGGTTCTGAAACAATGTAGCGAGTCTAAACGACAACGGTTGCGATTCGATTTTGCGAGTTTAGAAGAAGAAAATAAAAAATTTTAATGAAAATTTGATCAAAATATCATTGATGTGCAATTAATAATTTATCAGTATATGCAAAAACCTTAGATATGTCCTATTCAAAAGAAAGGAGGAAAAATCCAACTTGAATATGATAGAACCTAAAATCAAGTCGAACACATTTTGTGAGGTATGTATTTATTAAGATAAAGAAACAAATTTGGGTATATTTGCAAAAAAGAGTGTTATCAATCTTTTTCATGTGCCTAAAAATAGTATTACCAAGGGTAAGAAAACATAATAAGATGTAACTAATTGTCTATCATCTATTATGTGGAAATATAATGATAAGATGATTGATAGGTTATTTGTTAGTTTAGTATATATATAATGAGAAGATCCTTGATAGTTTAAAGAACAACAACAAACCTTTATCCCACTAAGTGGGGTCGGCTACATGAATCCTTTTTTTTCCATTGCGACCTATTAAGTGGCATATTTTCGTTTAATTCAAATAAATTAAGATAATTTTTTTTTATAAAATATGTCCAAGTCTTTGTAGGTTTACCTCTGCGTTTCTTAACATAAGTTGAATCTAAAACATATACTCTCCTAATCGGATCATCAAAGGACCAAACCATCTAAGACGACTCTCTCTAATTTTATTTGTCGCTGAACTACACCAATCCTATCATGGATATATTCATTTCGCATTTTGTCTCTAAGTGTGAAGCCACTCATCCACCTAATCATTATCATCTCGACAATATTTAACTTTGTTTTATGCTCCTCTTTTAAAGGCCAACATTCAGCGCCATAGAGCAATGCAGTTCTAACCACCATCTTATAAAATTTACCTTTCAGACAAAGCGGTACTTTTCTATCATACAATAGGCCCGATGCATTCTTCCACTTCAGCCAACCAACTTGAACTCTACTAATAACATCCTCATTTATATCAACATCACTTTGAACAATAGACCCGAGATATCTAAAGCGTTCACACTTTTTAATAATTTGATCACCCATAGTTACAATTTTGTCAATAGAATTGCTACTAAAAATACATTCCATGTATTCAATTTTAGTTCTACTCAAACGAAGGACTTTAGACTCCAATGTAGACCTCCATTTAGACTCCCTCAAACGAAGGACTTTAGACTCCAATGTAGACCTCCATAATTCATGTTTTTCCTGAGCTTTTACTCTCATCGTATCAACGAGAAGGATATCATCAGCAAAAAACATACAATAAGACACATCCTCCTGTAAATATCCAGTAAGAGAATCAATAACTAAATCAAAAAGATATGAGCTTAAAGCAGATCCTTGATGTTTAAAGCAGATCCTTGATGTAATCCAACAAAAATAGAAAAAATATTTGGTCAATCCACCTATTCAAACACAACTAACAGCTCTAGTATACACATCTTTAATGACTTGAATATAATTCACATCAACACCTTTCTTCTCAAGAGCTCTCCAAAAGGATATCTCTTGAAATCTTATCGTAAGCTTTTTCTAAATCAATAAAAATCATATGTAAATCCTCCTTATTATCTCTAAACTTCTCCATCAAACCTCCCATCAAACCATCAAACCTCTCAATAAATGTATAGCTTCCATAGCAGACATGCCCGACATATATCTAAATCGATTATTAGAAATCTTTGTAAAGAACCAAAAAAAAAAAAACTGCAAAAATAAATGATATGATATTAATAGGAAGGGATCAAAGAAAATATGGTTAAGGGAATATAACATAAAATGTTCAATATATGACCAAGTGGTTCAATCAAGCAAAAATTCCATTCAATCTAGTGCAATTAGAGTTTATTGATCATATAAGAAAGGCAATTGTGTGGTATAGAACAGGTTTTTTACCACTATCTTATCATGAATTAATGGTTCCATAAGAAAGGCAATTGTGTGGTATAGAACAGGTTTTTTACCACTATCTTATCATGAATTAATGGTTCCATAACTTTAAAAAGAATTGCAATCATAACAAAAAAAAATGGAAGGCCACAAAAATTTTGGCAAGAAAAGGGGTTCACTATTATGTTTGATGGGTAAATTGATAGTTGAGAATGATTTATAATTAATTTTTTTAGCCGACCCCACGTAGTAGGATTAAGGCTTTGTTGTTGTTGTTGTTGTTGTTGATGTTGTTTTTAAATTAATTCGCCGGACACTATAGTTTTGGAGCCAATGGATAGAAGGCAAAAAAAAAAAAAAAAAAAAAAAAAAAAAAAAAAAAAATAGTTTTGGAGCCAATGGATAGATCTAAATATTCAAAATTTGCATTAAAGTTCTTGTAACTCTTACATGCATAAAATGTGAAGATAAGAGAGAAAATGTTTTCAATTGATTCTCCATATATGAATATGTTCTTTCATGTTGGTAATTATATTTTTTTAATATATATAATTTACCATCCCTAGATTATATTAATAATCATGAACTAGTTCTTAACATGGATGAGAAAAAAAATAGTAAGGGTTAGAAATTAGTGAAATTGAGAATCACTCGCTTTCCGATGTCACTTAAAGATCCTGGAAGTATACATAAGCAAAAATAAATAAATTCAAGTATAGGTTTAGAATTAACTAAAAAAGAGAGGAAAGATGTAGAGATCATTCTCAAGTCTAGATTCTAAAATAACAAAACTCATAATTTTGAAAGTTACAAAGCCTAATGGTGAAAATATAAAGAATAGTAGATGAATAGTTGATGATGAAAAATATCAACAACGAATTATAATTGTACTGCAAAAAACAGAGTCAAAGATGCAATTAAAGATGCATTTGAAGGAGGTGGGAAAAGAACCCCTTTTTTTTCTGGTATTATTAACGACAAATAAAGAAGTCATCTCTGATAGCTCATTATATTAAGTTGCCTGCTATCTTAATCCAAAACACTTAGGAAATAATAATTACAGCATACAAATAAATCCAACAATTGATGGAATGATTACTTGCAATTATTAATAGGTTAGTAAGATACACAAATGAAAGGATGACCATGGATCAAAAACCTTCTATTTATAATCATGTTTAGGACCTATTCACAACAGAATATGTCATGCATAAAAAAGATTAAAAAATCATCAACTACAATTAACCTAAATTTCTACATACTTTTGAATATTTTAAAATTTTAAATTTATCTTTGAAGTTTTTTTTTATAATTATAATGCAATAGAGTCGTGGAAGATGTACAGTGAGTTAGCTCCAACTTTACAGAAATAATATAAATATTTTAAAGTATAATGAAACTTTGAAAAAAAAATATATTTTAGAGATGACATAGATTCAATCAGTTTAGATTCTATTAATAAAAGCAACGAGTGGTTAATTAGAGAAATGGAGGCTGCCGATCGATCAGTAACATTTAGTTGATTAACATCTCATTAAGAAATAAAAAAAAAAAAAAGATAGATGTTTCTGCAGAAATCGATTTGAGGATGTTTTGTAAGATTTACAAGATAAAAACATAAAAGTAATCCATCCACGTTAAGGGATAGTTCATCTCGACCTACATCCACTTTAATGTGTAAGAAAGAAGGATGAAATTGATTCGCAATAAAATAAGAGAAACATTAGAAGAATTTGAAGATGAAAAAAATTTTGCTTCA